AAAAGCAAAACACTAGATCAGATTATTATTTGGACAGACACCCTTTGTCTTTTAACAACACCAAGTCAAGGTACTTGGCAGTAGCTGGTTACAAGTATTTTGGAGAACCTGCTAAAGTTCTGTTGTGAATTTAGGCCATCTCAGTGTCTTCTGTCTCTTCATGTAATCCCAGACTGACTGACTGACAGAGCCCTGATCTCAACATGATCAGGGTCTTACCATCTACTGCACGACTCCTTGTTCTTCTTGTCACTGAAGACATTATTTTTGACTCTAGCTCTATGGTTGGGCTCATCTGACTGCAGAATGACTTTGGGATCACCTCCCTGATTGTATTGCACCATGAATAAGAATCTAAACATCTCAAGTGCCTTCAACTTTTGCACAATACTGTTTCTCTCAGGCACTGAAAATCAAAACAAAGCTAAAAGGAGAATAAATATTACATTTACATTTGTTACATTAGCCATACACATTAAATTTGTGCTGTTTAAAGAAACAGCATGTAACTCTACAAATTGGAGTGCCCTGTTAGCCAAGTGGAGCATGCGCCCCATATGCCTGGCGTCTGCTGTTTGAGTCCAGTCACAGATCTGCATTGCAGGTCTCCTCCTTTAATTCTCTCCTTTCATTTCCTGTTTGTCTCTCCGTGATCCAATAACAAAAATAAAGGCAAACCAAAAAAGAGCCCAAAAATAAAACTCTAGCTATAAGAAATAACGCATTCCTCTTACAAATACAAGGTTTAATTCATAAGCAATCAAATGTATCTTTGCTCAATTGAAGTTGTGTTGCTGCAACTTCATTATGGTAGACAGTGCTTGCTTATATTAGCAAACTTTAGATAGACATTACTTTGTAACATTACTGAGTCAATTTACAGACCCGACTAAACTTTAATGCTTAAACCTTACTGTACAAACGTATTATTGGGATAGAACATTTCAGTAAAAATAACATGGCAACAGTGCCTTATGAGAAATGATCCAATGAGAAATGATCTAAAAGTCAGGATATCTCAAGCTCCGGTGCATCATCTGTTCTTTTTAAAATCTCTCTCTTCCTTTAGGAAAGTGCAAGATTAAACTGCTACACTGCCCCTGGAATATGGAGATATATTTTGATCTAACAAAGAAGTTGGGTAACAGTGGATGAGTAATATTTATATAAAAATCTGAAAATATTACAAGGTAATACTGTGTTTCTTAACTGGAAACACTTGTGATTTCAGCGACTGGTTACATTAAACCTGACAGTTTTTAAGTGCAAACCATAAATCAAGGCAAGGAAAAAAAAGGAACAGGTGGTTCCTTCTCCACTTTCTCATTATGTTAAATCAAAATTAATCCATAGCATCATTACATAGAAACATAAGGTATTATCTGTGTAATACCTAGAAACAAATGCTAGAAAAAGCAAACACCTGTTCGTACCTAATTTTGCAGTCAAGTTATTTTATTTTTACTCCATCATTGCTTAGACTGGTCATAGCCCCAGTTGTGTTCAGCTATACCTGTACATCACATTCAAAAAAGCCTTTTAAAATGCTTTTCTACTTGATTCTGCTTTTGCAGAGGCGATATAGAACAATATGCAGTACAGGTGATTGTGCCCTTTGATTCCACAACAACGAAAAAAAATGCATTTGAGTTAAGACTGTAAGTCAATCTGCCCACACTTCATGTGTATAGCACATGCCTATATGTATTCAAAGTAGGTCCAGTCCTGCACGGCTGGTCATTCTGCTCACGATGTCCCTCCAGAGGCTTTATATTAGCAGTGGGAGTGTGTTGGAGTAAAGATAAGACAGATGCTAGAGCATGTCTCAACATGGGTTGGGGGGGGTTCCACACAAAACAGGCGCTGGCTGGTGTGTAAAACAAGCTCTCCCCTTCCCATGACTATACCTCCAAACCTGCACCACTATCTCCCACTCCAGGAAACTAAGGGTGCAATTTACTGCTTGCACTGCACTGATAATACTGCCTCCAGGGCAGAAAGAAGAGAGTGATGGGCTGGGATAGAGAAGAGAGAGGCAGAGGGAGAAAGAGGGGAGGGGGAAAGAGAGAGAGGAAATGGTAAAGAGAGAGGGAAACAGAAAAAGAACAGCAGATAATAGGTGGAAGGAGGAGGAGACAGAAGAACTATCACAATGGAAATTAAAATTACAATCCCAAGGCCCAATTTGTGTCTGTGCAAAATGTGATTTAACCAGACAAAACCTCGCTGGACTAAATCACGACTTGATCCTGCACAAACTTATCTCGTCCTACAGAGAGACAGTCAAATTAATCCACTTTCACACAGCTTTACCACTGAACTGATGCTATGTAAAACCTAGAGTCCAAAGTCCTGATATGGCTGCTGACCTAAACTCAGAAAATACCATATCATTACACACACACACACACACACACACACACACACACACCAACAGCATCGCCAACAGGTCACTGGTGGATGTTGCACTGGAAAAAGGATTTTTCACAACAGACAGATTAGTGACAAAAATGGCACATCAGTCAAGTGTGAACGACAGTCAAGGTCTGAACTAATTCACTGTAATGTTACACATAATACACAAAACTTGAAGTGATTATTAAGTGATTATTTCTTTTTAGTAATATAATATAGAGAAAATGCAAGGTGTTTTCCAAGCCAGCATCCTTGTTACCAGCTAAGGCATCAAAATAACACTACCCCTTGTATATTCATCCAAAATACAAAAATAATACATATCTCAGCTTAACGTTTCCCCTAGAACATTTTTCAGGCACAATGGCAAGAGGATGATAGAGGTTTTGCATACACATGCTAAAATGTTTGGTTATTTCTCAGGCAACACAAGACTTTTGGTTGGTAATTTCCATGTTGAGGTCATGTAAAACAAGCAGAGTATTAATAAGATGCAGCTATTGCACACAGTTAACTGTCAAAGCTGCCAACTGCTTCACAATTGAATAAGTTAGAACTAAACCTTTACAAAAAATAAACTGATATAAGAAAAATAATAAAATTCATATAATAAAATATATATATCAAATAATAAAATTATAATAAATCGCTCAAGTTGGTGCAAACTGCGTTTTGAACTGCTCAGTAATTTCCGACAAACTGTTTGCTTTCTCATCATGAGCACAGTGTGCAGGACTCATTGCTGCTTGGCAGTGAAAAAAATGATACCATAGCATCAATGTACGAATATTCTCCCACAGCTCTGGGTCCCAGCCAGATGTTCTGTTAGCTTCTATCCGCTGCTTCACCTGCAGCTTGCATTTGACCTATAGCCTGTTTACCTGTTTCACCAATGCTTATGGCGTTTGTACGAAATCCATTAATCCCATGCCTGTACTGTTAAAGGGGAAACACTGCAGATACAGTGCCTTGCGAAAGTATTCTGCCCCCTTGAACTTTGCGACCTTTTGCCACATTTCAGGCTTCAAACATAAAGATATAAAACTGTAATTTTTTGTGAAGAATCAACAACAAGTGGGACACAATCATGAAGTGGAACGAAATTTATTGGATATTTCAAACTTTTTTAACAAATAAAAAACTGAAAAATTGGGCATGCAAAATTATTCAGCCCC